GAAAACTCTGAACCAAGCACACCAAGAAAGAGTGAGTTGCTAATTCCTGTAAAGTCATCCAAAGCACATTGGACCTTGCAGTTTATGGGTTTTGATGTACAAGGTTTCACATGTTTAGGGTTCACATAGTCCTGTAGTTGGATGGCAAATAACCTTAAATAAGTGAGTGGGTGAATGTTAGAAGTGGTTTCCAAGGAGATTGGTTTGCAGTTGCAAGTTTGGTTCACATCAGTGCATAGATGATTTAATTTGTCTATTTGCTGCTGTGCTTATTGCATAAGATAGAAGCAACTTCGACTGATGTTATCATGTATGCAGATATGAAATTTGGCCAACATAAACTAATATTAACATAGACTCTCTTCCTTCTGTGTCTCAGCTCTGTTTGCCATGGAGATCAATGTGACTAAAAACCTGTTGACAGGGGAGAGCACAGTACTTTCTACTGCAACAGTTCCTCCTGAGGAGTTGAACCAACACGCTGGGCTCAAGGTTTACGACGACGGCAGGAAATGTGTCTATGCCATGAATTCACAAGAGGTATAATCATTAATAATAATAAACTTCCTTTGTAGGGGTGTAATGCTCGGGTATCGCAGTATTTTTTCGAGATATTGTATTGATTTTTGTGTTTAGACCCCCAACCACTAGCATAAACCGAGGGCTATGATGTTGGATGGACATTGCATTTTATGCATATGGTGGTGTGTTCTTTATACTATAGTATACAACAGTTTTCCTAAAGTTTTTATTTTTTTAAATCGGATTTGTCAAATATAGCGTCCTGCTTACAGTATTGCAATATAGTGCAGTATATTAAATCGTAAGACCAAGTAATGCAGAAATGCAAGTTACTGAGGTAGCAACTTCAAGAGGAAGACTGCTCTAGAGACTGGGGGCCCTGACAGCAAATACACAGTCTCCTTTAGCTTTAAGTCTAGACTGGGGAGCTGCTAGCAGAGTTTTGTTGCAAGATCTGAGTTGTTATTAGACATGCAATGCTTGATACAGGTTTTATGGACACATAAAGTTGCATGTCATCAGCATAGCAATAAAAAGAAATATTAACTGTCTGACACTATGATCCATGTTTGTGTTTTCCCAGACTTTTTCTGCTTTTTCCATTGACTTCAATTCATATTGTGTTCTTTTCCACTTTTAGGGCTCACATGACCAGAGCCGTGCGTCTGAGCTGTCAGCCAACGAGGTGGAACAGTTGCTGAGAAGCGCCACTGTGCATCGCCAAGTAAATCACCAAAATCCCAGCAGAAGGGAGGAGCATTACTTTTACAACCGCCAAAGTGAAAGAGACAGAATGAGGGAATGTGACCTCAGACAGCAGGGAGGACATTACGGTCACCACCTCCTCAGGAACAACTTAACAGAGAAATACTTTAGTCGTAGGGAGAACTGGCAGAGAAAACCAGGGGCAGAGCATCACTACGGTCACCAGGAAAGCCATTACAGAGGGCAGGAAGAGAGAAATAACCAAAGCAACCTGAGGGAAGGTCATCGCCTTGGAAACCCCAAGGGTTTGGAACATCACCATAGTAACCAGAAAGCTCGTCACTACAGTTCGTACCTGGCGAGAAACTGTCACAGTGTTCAAGAAGATCGGCCTGCTAGCCAACACGCCAATGGCATTATCCGAAGCAATAGTAGGGTAAATGGAAGCAGAGCCAATGGCTGCCCTCCTCCCAGATCACATGACCAGGAAGTTGTGTCTGCCTACCAACCACAGCTCTGCTACACTCCAGCCAATTATATTCCTCTTAGGGATTACATCAGCGTGGATGAAGAAGAAGTTTATTGTCCACCTTCCTATCACAGCCATGATGGAAAGCAACCCGCTGCTCTATACAGTGGCCCCACCCACTCTGACAGAGTCCCCTCCCCCATTTATGGAGACGACAGCCCCTACACCATTCTCAACGCCATCGAGACCACCGAGCCAATCACAGCCATCTTCATGGGCTTCCAGACGGCGCAGGACGACAGCAGGCCAGGTCAGGAGTACGAGGGCTCCCTGAAGGCCGAGCTGGTCATCATTGAGGACAATGAAGTCAACGGCAACAACAACAGCATGAAGGAAAAGAAGAGTCACACCCAGCCCAGGGTCAATGGTTATCCAACGCAGTGTTCAGCCAATGGAAACACAGGATGTGTGGAGGGAGATGGAGACAGACGGATCGAGAGACTGGTTGGATCAGGTATCAGAAAGATCCAAAAAAAACACAAAGCGTGCTGTACTGTCTGCTAACTGGACTAACTGATGTTTGTGTGTCCAACACAGTAACCAGCTGTATCCGTCTGAAGACTAACAAACAAAAACTGCTGTATGTCACAAGTAATGGGGAATCATGGAGAACGCAGCTGTTTAGTGTTGCAGGGGGCAACCACGGTTTGGTTCTGTGATTCATGCGTCTTCAAATCCCACCGAGAGCAGTTGAGAAGCAGAGCCTCTTTATATAGATATATTTTTTATGTTGACTGCCACACGTTGTTTACTTGTGTATTTTGTACTTACGGCTTCCATCAAAAATAGACCAAGCAGAGCAGAGAGCCGCTTCTGGTGGAATTTCAAGTATCACCAACTCTGCAATTGTACTGGACTTTTTAGCCTCTTTGAGCTAATTGTTTTTGGTTTCATCCAACATTTTAACTTAAAGCTAACTATATGTCTGTGAGTGTCACCACTGACATCAGCCTGACAATGCTAGCAGGCAGCTGTTTCCAGCCAGAAAGCTCTGATAAAGCCACTGTACACTACCTGCTCACCAACAGCACACAGACACATTTAGAGACCAGCTGGCAGAGGTGTGGGCTCGAGTCACATGACTTAGATTTGAGTCCACTAGACTGGACTCCGCACCTCAACTATGACTTTAACACAAATAACTGACTTCACTTGGACTCTTTGGACTTGAAAACATTTGATATCTTCCCCTAAACGTTATTTAGAGTGTGCCACGAATACAGCCATTTCTCCAGTCCACACTTCACTCCCAAGATCCAGTTTGTTTGAACCAATCTGAGAGATGTGGGAAGGAGCACACTATGACTTGTTTAGGACTCGAAACTCAAAGTTTAGGACTTGATTTGAAACCTGACTTGCAAAACAATGGCTTGGTTCCTCCTCTGCCTGCTGTTGAACAGGGGAGCATTTAGCAGCTAAAGAGACACATATTTTCCTCAGGTGTTTGCAGTGCCGTAAGGCGAGTGAATGTTGGACTTACATTCAGCACGTGGACAGAATCACTGCTCCGAATAAATGCTTGTTTTGTACAGTACAATATGACAAGTACTAACTTTCTACAGAATATCGACCTTATTTAGAATATTGTCTTAAGTAATTATGCAACACATAATAATGGATTTGGATTTGTGTAAATATATAAAACCGTTAGTTATTTAACATGTGCTCAGGGTTAGATTCCAGAGAGCTGCTGTCCTGTAGCTCCCTCTGCTGGTGTAAAGGTGCTGATGTGACCTAGTTCACAGTAATAAGCAGCTATAATAAGAAACAATGAAAACCTCTGTATACCAGCTAATGGTAAGCTCAACAGTGATTTAAAATAAGTGCTTTTGTAGTATTGTATAGCACTGTATACTGTAGTACATTGGAGGCACCGAGTAGTACTCAGAAAAAAGAAAGCAAACTCATCTCAGCTGCCTGATACTGCTCCATGTTAGCCCCATAACAATATACAGGTGTGATCATTGGTTTGATTTAGCTGCACAAAACTCAGTTTTATTTTGGTTAGAAACTTTGGATCAACACAGTGTCAGACTTACAATGAAAACCAGCAATAATGTTATGTGACACACTGTACCTAAAACATTTGTATTCCAGTGACACATGGTAGAAAAACCGAGGCACGCTAAAATATTTACAGATTTAAAAATATCTTACTGTATCATATTTAGAGAGCATTTTATCAAACAGATTTAGTAAAGAACTTCAAATAACATGTTTGTTTTTGTTTGGACATTTTCATACTAATCTGGAGTGATTGAACTGTACACGTTTGTCTACAACATGTCAGATAATGAGCAGGTGGAATGATGATGCTAATAAACCTTTGTTACTGATTAAATTAACAGCTCGCTCTGTGTCTAATCCTCATCACAACATAACACTGTGTGACTAGGTGTGTGTGTGTGTGTGTGTGATATTAATCCTGCATGATGTGAATCAGCTCAGATGTCCCTCACAGAGTCATGCTGGATATCAGTCTGTGTTAGTTTATATTGACGCTGATGTCATCTCATTATAACACCGTACTGTGTGTGTGTGTGTGTGTGTGTGTGTGTGCAGGGTACATCCTGTAGCTGACAGCATCAGGTCCAATGACATTAATGACAGTACTTGTGTCATTGGCACTGACAGACAGCCAACATGAATTAGAGTACAGTGGTAGCGTTGTTCTGGTTGTGGCTGCAGGACAGAATGAGTGCACAGGTTACAGTAACACCTCCACTGCCACCTCCAGCCTCCTCCAAGAAAACACAAAGAAATCTCAACTAAAGGTCCACTCGCTTCATCAGCAGATGGATTAGCTCTGTGAGCTCAGACTAATGAAAAGTTTGAACACTTTCATTCTCAAGACAACAGGGAAATGATGAGGCCGGTGTTACTTGGTAAGAAGCTCTAGAATAAGGAAGTAACCTTGAGTTGCAGTCAGTCTCAATCCTTGTATAGTTCCATTATTCTTGTTTATCTGCTAGTGGTGGAAAATACATTTACTAAAGTACTGTACTTGAGTAAAGTTTTGAGGTACTTTTACTTTACTTGTGTATTTCCATTTTATGCTACTTTGTACTTCTGCTCCACTACATTAAGTTTAAATCTTTAGTTACTTTACAGATTCTGATTATTGATGCAAAACCAAATCTGATGTATTATCATTAAACTATCCAGCAGTCAATGTAAAGTTATAAAAAAAAAAGTTATTAAAAAAAAACACTTTAATCCAATATCATCGTCTTCCATCCAGATTCTGAAATAGGCCATTCTGCATAATAAGAACTTTTACTTTGGTAGCTTAAGTGCATTTTGATGTTAATACTTCTGTACTTTTACTCAACATTTTAATACAAGAATTTTACTATTTCACTCCAATTGTTTCCTGTGCAAAATGTCTACCTAGGTTCTAGTTGTGAAGATGCAGACCATGTAGACATGTACGTGGTCTCAGTTTGGTAGGGTTACTTGGAACACTCCAAATGGTGCCATTATATACTCTGTTAAACTTGATTTTTCTTTCAATACAAACTAGAAACATCGCAGTATGCAACACGATGTTATAGAAAAGCTGCATTTCTACGCTACAACACTCCCAAAAAACCCAGTGAAATCCCAGAGGGACTGATTGGCGTAGAAGACTAGAGCTGCACAGTGTAATGCTGCTCTGCTGACTGTCGGTGTGTGTGTTGTGTGTGTCAGGTACAGAGGAGTGAAGGAGGACGGCTGACCCATCTGACATGCTGGAGCTTTCAGTTGTCTCTTAGTTCTTTGTGTCCTGCTGTGATCCCTGACTGACTGCTTCAGCACCAGCCAGCTGCTCGGCCTCCACCGCTGCCTTCATATATCAGACTGTCTCATGTTCCAACCATTCTCTCCTCTTTCTGTGGTCCTGCTTCATTCACTGTCTCTGCCCCATTTCACAAACTGCCAAAGATAAACATTTTTCTAATGTAGATGCTTTGTTCTGTGCAACCCAGACTCTGTCTCTAAGACATCTGTTGACCTTAAACATTTGACTGCTTATTGATGTTGTTAAAGTTTGTGATTGTGATCTTATAAACACACCTTCAACAATAGTGATGCACTGTAGGGAAACTGCATCCAAGAATGGCTAAATTATCAAACTATTATCCATGTACACTGGTTGTCATACATGTCCAGCTGTTTAGGACTATAAAAAAGCATTAAGTGTAGAAAGTAGAGACAGTGGATATCTTCTCAGCTACTGACCAACAATAGAAACCAAATCGAATCTATCCTTTACTGCATGTAGTAATTTAAATTCCCCCTCCAGTCAAAAATCTGTGTTTCCTCTTATTCCCACAGTGTGATGTTTATGGCAGTCCATTTAAGCCAATGTGATCAGCTTCCTTGCTGTGAGAGTTTACTTATAGCAAGGTATCTTCCTGGTGTCTTTTGACTTAGTCAGGGTGTAAATTTGACAATAAAGAGTTTTCTTTGTCACAGTTTCTTGGTTTGGTTTTTAGGATAAAACATCCATTGTAACATCCTAAACCCCAAGGATGTACATCCTGGTGGCTGTGAGGAGGACATTTCCCCCTCACTTTACAAACTCATGTTTCAGATATTTGTTCCCTCCCACATTTACAGTTGAATTTACTATTACATTTTTATCTCTTTCTGTACTATTACTGTCCAGCTGTCCCAATCCAGATGAGAAAAGAGAGGAGCACAAAGGGTAGCAGCAATTGCTCAATTGACTTTTTTTAGGGGGCGGGGGCAGACATTGAAGGAGCTTGCTGGGGTCATACAGCCTAAGAGGAAGATCTGACAGATTCTAGGTTGTATGTTGTTCAACTTAGCAGTAAGAGCCAGCTTTTCGGCTCCCAAACGGCTTAGCCAATAGCCGGATTTATAAATATTCTTACCTATGATTGGTATGTGTGCACATATATCACTTGAATTATTCAATATACTAAACTGTATAAAAACCTTGAATAACATTAAATCATCATATGTTTATTGAACTTTTTTTATTGAACTATGTTTTGTATGTTGTTGACTGGTGCAATATACAAAAGTCTCATCATGCTTGAGTCTTAATTTTATTACTAAAGTGAGATTTTTTTAGATTGTATTTAACAAGGTACTGTGGGTTATAGGATGATCTTGTTATTCTGTCTTGTATTAATATTAAAAGAAAGAAAAAAAGAAATCAGCTCTCAGGCGAGAGGTGGTTCCCATCCCTCACTTAAAGCTGCGGTAGGTAACTTTTATAAAAATAACTTGTTACATTTGGTGAAACTTTTACTATATCCTGACAGCAGTACACGAGACAGATAATCTGTGAAAAAATCCAATCCTCTGGCTCCTCCTAGTGCTCCTAATAATATTTATAAGAATCCAACGGGCCTGAACGAAAACAGCCAATCAGAGCTGAGAAAGATAGAAATACACTTTGGGTTGGTGGCTTGAAGATAGTTGATTGGTGAGTTTCATTCCCAGGGTGTCAACGGACAACGCTGACCATAGAAATTGGCTGCCAACAAATAAACAGACCGTGAACACACAAAGGAGGTTTCAGTAGTCACACGCTTTATTGAAGATGTCATCACCAGACCTTTCATTTGGCAAGAATAAATGACTGAAACTCAAGGCAAATAAACTAAGAAATCAACAGAAACAGAATAAATGACACTAGTGAGGAAAAGCTGTAATAGTCAGGACAGCTGTTTATACGAGTCCATACAGAAGATTCTAGCAAGTGTCACCCAGTGTTACATCTGGATTTATTGAGTGGCCTGAACACAATCAGAAATGTTAAAATGACTAAATAGACTTTTCTTTTCAAAACTAAAAGCAGTGTAGTGGAGTAATAAAGTATCTTAGATAGTTAAGCTGATGTGAAAAACGGCACTAAGATTAAATCAGAAGCCAAACCAGGTATGGATGTGAATATCACGCCCCAACTGCAATGAAATCACAGGGCAAACACTGAGTGTGCAGCAGTGTGTGCTATCATACAGTATATCTAACACAGTAACATAATGACATGCTCAACTTTAAACCAGCCCTGCTTTTGACACAGCAGTTATTATTGTGCATCCAATACAGCTCAGACTCTCATAGGACACTACAGCTCCAAGATTTTTGCTTTTAAAGAATCTGTTCAGATTTTTACAAGTCTACCCTAATACATTAGTTATTGTTCACTGTAATCATTCCTCATTTCCATACTGGCCCTGAAGGAATCTCTGCCTAGTGTAACTAAACATCATAAATTACATTATGTACCTGACGCACAATAAGTACATGAATAAAAAAAAGAAAAATTACGGTAAAAAACTGCCAGCTGTGGTTGCCAGAACTTTACTGTAATAAATACGGTAGAACTTCTTCTATTATTACGGTAAAAGGATATTAGTACTGTTACTTAGTTTTTATTAGTACCATATTTTACCACCACCAAGTTTTTACAATCAAAAGAAACAGTTTTGCTATAGGAAAATACCATATGAATACTATGCCAGTGGTTGTCTGTGCAATTTACAGTCTGTAAGATAAAAAAACAACTTTATTCCATATAAATTCCTTTAAAATGTTGTATAAATAAAGATTTTGCCATGAGATATCAGAACATTTTACTGTTTAACTTTACTTTAAACCTATTTTGAGTTTACGGTCTGATGGTTTGCTGTGTAACTGACGAAACTTATACATGTTATCTAATATATTGTTTACTACTCAACTAATTTCTGACAGCAAAACTTTGGTAGAAACATCAACAAGATTTTTCCATTATGCAATATTATAATATTGGTGCAGAAGAAACAAAAGCAATAGAGACACAAGGAATTAACTTTATCTCATATAAATTCAGACTAGGCAAATAAACACTGTAAGGTTGGGCTGGGTAAGGGGAAACAGGAATTGATAATACTGGCAATATACCAACACCATTGCCTGAATTAAGACAGGCTCTTTTTTTCACAGAATGAGAACTATTTTGTGCCTCATCTCTTACAGTGTAATTACACGGAGGCAGGTTCATTTTACAGCCAGCATGAGGAAGAAAAAAACAGTAACCAACGACTTTATCAGCATACCTATGAAATGTATCACTGTATTAAGATGGACTTGGAAAAATTCAAACCTAGCCTCTCAACATTTAGGTCAGAAAATACAGATACAGGCTACATCATATGTATAGACACAGCTTCAGGTTGCACAGTGACTCACAGCTCAAATGTAGTTAGTTAGCTACCGAGGATCGTTTGTGGTATATCTTATACTGTAACAGTAGTGCAAACACATTACAGCTTAGAGCGCAATCAAAATGTAGTGATGATAAACTGAAACTGCTGCCGTTAGCGTTCCCCTCGCCTGGTATTATTCCCCCCTGGCAGTTAAAATCATCTCAATTCTGAGTTGACTTGAATGTACCTTTACCCCACAGCTGAGTCAGGTTGAGTTTATTGGGAAACCAGTGAGTGAGCTGAGCTACAGTATAGAAGCCAAACTAAAGGTAGCTCCAGCTAGCTGATGTATGACGGATGGATTACTATAAAACACACACTCGTACACATGCACACGCCACACACAAAAGTCATCTCCTAAAAAACTTTGCAGACTTCCAATTTCAAATAGTCATTCTGACATAATATATTATAAACCTTTTACAAATAAAAGCTTCAAGGATTAATAAGCATTGCTCAATTCATAAATATATGCAGCAAAAATACAATACAATAAATCTCTTTTTTAGGAATCAAGACAGGACATAAAAATATGTAAAAATCTTCACTAAGCTTTAGGATTAGAATATCTGATTCTTTCAGAGGTGCTCAAGTTATTTTGCTGAAACAGCAGAGCCACAGATAGGCAGAGTTTGACCAGGTTGTATCAATCAAAAAAACCCAAACATTTGTCTCGACTTAACTGTACACACCATGCTAACATTTATAAAGCTAAAACATTTGGGCTGCAAATATACCGGCATCCATAAAACCGCCATGGTGACATGGAAGCTCATTTTAAAGGTGCGTACGACTGAATGTGAATTTTCGCCTCAAGGTAATCACATAAGTTTGACAGCTGGAGGGTGTGGAGTGTGCCGATGTGTGTCAGCTGACACACTAGCCCCCAGGAAGAGTGCTGGGCTTTGAAGCCAATTTGACATAGTGGCTGAATCGAGTAATTACAGCAATGGCATCCAGCCCAAAAATACGTTTTCCATAAGCTTACATTGTGAAAGAAGCAGATGTAAAACAGTGGATACATTATATTTGAGCATCACAAACCCTGGCGAAATGACTCATTTTATCCCAATTCAAGTTAGCAGAGGGCTAAACCGGAAGTTAGCGGTCAGTCTCTAGTCCTTCTGTTCTATGGGCCTCACAATGAGGAAGCATATGCGGAAGATTCGGAAAATGAATTAAGGAATTAAGGGAAATCAAAGTTTTTAGGCACTGAGCAGCTTCCATAAAAATGTATCCAGTTATTTTCCTTGTCGTTGTATGTTAATGAATTTTGTGTGCTAAAGTTGGAACATTTTCAACTTGCACAAACATGATTTGCTCAACCTAGATTGAATTTGCACCCATTCGCTTAACATTCAGTCTGAACACAAGGGTTCTCAGGTCCTATTCTCTCTGGAATTTTTTTTTCTGTCACCAGTTGTGACTGCTATATTTTGATGCAATATCAGAGTGTGTATCCACATGTACCCACATGTGGATGCTGTCTATTTGCCTTTTTTTTTGTAATATTTCTGGGTATCTTATATGATGTAGCAAAAACAGCTAACCTAACTTAGCTAACTGATAAATGTTACATTATTTTAAAACTTAGCTCTGGTTGAACTTAGTTTTGTTTAGAACGTCAACAGCTTTCAATAGAAATGTCTATGCCCCGTGCCGTACGCCTTCATTACATGCTAACGAAGGAGAAAAGAAAACTAGCAAGCCTTGGAACTTTGAGACTACACTATCCTCAAAAGAGAGTGTATATTTGCTCTTTAAGAAGCCCACAAAACTGGAACTCTGGTTTACAACCAGCTTGCTTAAAAGAAGAGGTAAAAACTAGTCTGTGCGACTGTGATCCAAATGGTATTCAGTTAGCAGCTAGCATTGTTTAGCCAACATGGCTGACACAGAAACCTGGGACATCCAAACTCTCTTGATCAATGGCTCATTGTAACATTCCACTAAGGCAGTGATTTTCAAAGTCTGGGTTGGCCCATTGAACACAACATGCAAAATTATTTTTGCATATACCTTTTCACATATCTGCTATGCATAGCTACAATATTTTCAGTGACTTTAAAATATATACTAAATTTATATATGAAATTAAAATGTACCAGCCCAGAAAAAGTTTGAAAATCACTGCATTACAGTCAGTCAAAAAGAAAAATCAATAAATACTCAATACTTGTACCATAATTCATTAACATCTAGAAATCAAAGTGCTGTAAATATGAAATATTAAAGGAGAATACCGCTAATTTTGACATGTGCTTCCAAGGTTCACATAAAATATAGATCACATGTCAAAAACGGTGCTATTCTTATGATTAAAAATGTTATACTCATTATGATACACCTCCAGGGAATGTCCCTCAGAAGTCCACAAAAGTCATATATATATAACATAACAGGTAGTTCCATTGTGTACTGTTTAGACATCATGCAAAAGACCAGTTTGATTTTGAAAGACTCATTAAAACATTATGGGATCTCAAACCAGCTAAATTATCGTAATCTTTGAAACCAAAATTACAGAAAGAAACAGTCCTCAGTCCTCCTCATGTGGCATCCCGCAGGAAACAGATTGGTGACCCACTGGTTCTAACCCATAGTTTAGACAAACATTACAGTAGACGTTGGATACTGACAAAGAAGGACTGCGTGAGTTTTCTGGACAGGAGGAGGAAGAAACGGAGGCGTTTTGGCTTTTAAATGGCTGACAGTAGAGCGCTGACACTGCTCACTCCTTCTTCTGATTGGCTAGTAGGGAGGCCTCCCATCGCTGCGCCATGGTGTTCTGTCGTCGTGGCACAGAAGAGAGGGAGGGGGGGAACTGGAGGGAGGGGGAGATTCAGCTAAACCACTGGAGCCAAAATGGATGGATAGATGGATAGTTTCACGGTTGGATGGATTATCGGATGGATGGATGATGGGTGGATGGGGCAAAAGAGAAATGAACAGAGGATGGGATAGTTGGAGGAATTATTAGATGGACGGATGAATGGAAGAGTAATGGGTAGATGAAAAAATGAGCCTAGTAATGAATATATTTGCTAAATTGTGAACTAATAGATTAAAAATTAATCAGTCCAACTGATTAACAAATCAGAAAGTTCACAATTAATAAAGGTAACAAATGAATGAATGAGTAAAGGAAGAAATCAATTACCCAACATGGAAATTGCAAAAGTAAAAATCTGAATATGACTTTCATGCCGTGTACTAATACACAGAGAAATATTATCATTCTAGTATCAGGAAGGACTAGGACTCTGCAATATGACCATTACATCATTACATGATAGATATCGTTTCGTTTTATGCTCTATTGCTTATTTCATTGTGTCGCAAGTAACAGTCTTTATGGCAAGATTTTTGCGTTCTGCAGCATGGCACAAATGCAAGCACAAAATCTGCATGAAGGAAGATGAACAGAGTAATTCCAAACAGAAAAAAAACTCAGACTAAAGACAGCTTGTACCTAAAAGACGTTCTACTTCTGTCACATCGACATGGTTTGTGTATAAAAAATAACATCAAATGTAATACAAAATAGGCCTTTCCATGTGGTTATTCAACAATTTATTTATTGGATTTCAAGAAAATGTGCTAGATCGTAACACATATCATTATCTGACCTATATCAAGATATGGGATTTTGGTCATATCACACAGCCCTAGGAAGGACAATACATGTTTGAGTAAATATTACTGTAAGGGAATATATATATAAAATATATAATATAATAATAGATATATAATTTTTTAAATTAAATCCATTGGTGGACTCTATATGTACAGTATATGTGCTTAAAGCTGCACTCATCAATATGTCTACATAAACAATGGATTAATATGGCCAGATGTTTATCTCAGGAGTTGGTGGAGACCAAAACAGAGCCAAAAGGAGAGCGAATATTGGTCAGGTGAGCTGAAACATGACTTCCAATAAATTATGTTGCTTTGTCTGCTGGATGTGTAACTGTTTGCTGACACATATGGCATAACAACATCACTCTTTAAAGTCAACATGTTGTGTAATAAATCGTGTTGCTGGCTTGTTGCCTGCCCCCATGTGGTAGCAAAACATCAATTCATGCAGCTTTAAGAGTGTTCAACAGATTTGTTAGTGCCTGACGAAGAAGCTTCTAGAGGGTCTAAGGATAAAGGTTGCCGTATTCTGTACATGGCCTTGAGGCTAATTTGTGATTTGTGATATTAGGCTATATAAACAAAATTCACTTAGATTGACTTCTGCTGAAGCTGACTACTATCAGTGCCTTTACATGTACTTCAGTACCTGGGCAACATTTGGCTTTGTCCAGTAAGCTGGTTTCTGAAAACTGCAGTATGTAACTTTATAAAAATAACTTTTTTATTTGCTGAAACTTTCACTGTATCCTGACAGTAGTAAATGAGACAGAAAAAGACTGGAGATAAGTCTAGCACATCTGAGTTTGAAACCTGTTTTGCATCAAAATTTGCATTTTAGCCATGGTTATGTACTTGGCTTGATAATTGTTTAGAATCTTATTCACCAGTAGATTTTGATTGATAAATAGATCAAGTCCTCTTGTTCTGGGATGTCAGAGGTGCCATACTGCTGATGTGGAGTACTTTTAAAACTATAATAAACTCCATTTAAGTCCATTAACTGGATATAGATATAAATTGTCAGACTTCCTGTTTACTTTGATACAAAGGCTGCAGCAGGCAACTTTGTCTCCAGATAGATAGATACTGTGTGTGTCTGTGTGTGTGTGTGTGTGTGTACGTCAGCCAACCTTGTGGTCACAAGACAAACTGGATCGTTCCATTTTGCGGGTCCTAGAGGGGGACGAAGGGGAGGAAACACATCTGTCTGGAACCTCTGGCACTGGAATACAATCGAATGCAACAAAAATACCATGAAATCAAACCAGGAAAAATAATAGACCTTTTTTCCCAGCAGCTATTTTGACATGAAATAGCTGGATAAACACAGGTGTTACTAATAATAATTAAGGCTCCATTCCATTTAGTGTAGCAGAGCCTTTCCAGGAAGCTAACACTATTCACACTAGCAGCACCCTGACTCTGTTTGACCTGAATGGAACCGTAATTAGTATCATTGGTGTTTACCTTAATGGTGATTATCCCCAGACAGAAACTAAACAAAAATGTATTTCTCATCCCACACACTCAATGTCATATTGAATATTGTTCTGTACAGCATTGGTGAAAGCACACCATCATCTGCAAACCTTTGGATTATTACGGACACTGTTTTTGTTTCACAGCTATAAATTCACAGAATTAAGGCAAGGGCCACAAAATGGCTGTCACTGAATGGCGTGGAGGGGAGTAGTAGCTGAACTACAACAGGAATGTTTCTAGGACTCTACATACCGTTGTAACTGATGTTATCGTTCAGGGCCGGAGACACCAGCACAGTGTCGTACCTCTCCCTCCCTCTCCTCCAGTCCTCCTCCCTCCTCCTCCTCCACATCTCCTCCCTCTGCCTCCTCCACTCCTCCTCCCTCTGCCTCACCATGCGGATCTCTTGCTCCACCAGCGACTGGCTGCTGAGGGAGCGCAGCTTAAAGAACGGATTTGACGAGAAAGTGCTCTCCTGCGTTTCTACGGACACGGGGGCTGAGCTTAGGCAGAACTCAGAAGCACTGCGAATGATCAGGTTGGAGGTCTCCACCACAATGACGTTCGCGGAAGGCACCGTATCCAGGCTCGTGGGCCAATCAGAGAGCCCCCCGATTGCAGAGGAGAGTAGGCGGTTCCTGGAGGCGGAGCTGGAGCAGTCAGGCTCCAGGATGATGACATTATTGGCTGTCATTTCATGGTATACAGACCGGGGAAGGGAGGAGGAGCAGGAAGGGGATGGAGAGATGGATAAGGTAGGGGTGCGGCAGGCTGGAGGTCTAGGTGGAGATCGTCCTGTTTGCAGGGTGGATGGTCTGAACACAGAACAGAAAAATTGTGAATCTGTGAAAAAAAAAACCTGAAACCTAAAAATAAGATGTAAAACTGTAAGGTTGACCAAAAAAACAAACAAAAAATTGGTTAATGCAGCTTTAAATTTCACCATTTCCATTAAAGCTGCAACAATAAGCCGATTAATCAATTAGTAGCCAACTATTAAATTAATCGCCAACTATTTTGATAATTAATTAATCACTTGGAATTATTTATTATGACTAACAGTAAACTGAATATCTTTGGGTTGTGGACAAAACAAGACATTTGAGGAAGTCACCTTAACCCAATCTATAATACTCTTCTTAATGCACCACAAAGACTGCATTGTAGGATTCTACACTGGCACAAGCCTGAAGAGCTCATTTTTGCTACAGTGAGCTCTAGGTGTAGCAGAAAAAAAGCACTGCCATTTCAGTACATTTTTTGTTACCTGGGTATAGTCAGACCCTGTGCAATCATCCCCCTCTCCCTGCGGTGGCGTTCCTCTCTCTCCAGAGTCAGGCGGATTTCTCTCTCCACTGCAGTCTCTGGCTCCTCCAAGGGGCTGCGGTATGACGAGTCATCCAGGCCTGAGTCCTCGGAACTGGGGGACAGGGTGGAGGACAGAGGGGGCTCCCTAGGCACTGGTGGATGGATCTCTCTTTGAGAGGACAGGAGGAAACCCGGCTTGTTAGGATTAACTAAAACTAAAAGACACAAGACTTGTGTTTCTATTTAATTACGTTTTGAATTTTTGGGGGCTTTTTTATGGATGAAGTTGTCTCTTCTGGGTCACATGTAGACTATGCTCTTTTTATCTGTCAATTTGGTGATAGAGAGAGGGCTAAAATACAACAGGGGCCCCTATCTGGATATGAACTGAGGGCATTACAGTTAAGTTGTGTACACCTCCAACACCCCTGTTCTGAGCAGATGGATGGAAATGTCTGACATGCAATGACTGCTTTGTACATTTAGGGGAAGTTATCAGCAATTCAGGGCTGCAACTAACAACTATTTTTATTATCAATTCATCTTCTGGACTGCAAAAATCTCAGAGCACTGTGCGAAATGACCATTGTAATCTCTAGAAGCCCAATGAGACATTCTCAGATGTCTCGTTTTGTCCAACCAAAATCCAAAGATATTCAGTTGACTATCACATAAGGCAAAGAAGAGCCCTCACATTTGAGAAGCTGGAACCAGATGATATTTTCTAGTTTTGCTTGAGAAATGATGTTAATGATTGTACAATTATTAAAATAGTTGCTCCATTAATCACGCAATCAACCACTTGATTCAGCTGCACAGCTACACACTCTCTAATAAAGCAGGAACCCTTACAGGAATCTTGGCATGAGTTAACCCCTTGATTCCAACACAGTTTTCTTTAGAGGTTATGAGAAACATGTGACCCTCCTGGAAACAAGACAGAAAGGCAGATGCCTTCACTAGTATTTAAAAAAACGTTGAAACACAATCAGCTGTATACAAAGTCACAAAAAGTATTGCAGTGTAGCGGAATAACAACCTACAAACTTCTCATTTTTGTGTACAAACTTGCAATAGAAATGCATTGCTAAGCCTAAAAATTAGTGTCACTTAAAGAATTTACTGTTATAAATAACTAAAATAATAATTTGTATTTCTGTGCCAAGCTGTTTAATTAATTTTTTTTTCAATTTGTTTAATTTAAAATACATACCTGTGTTTGAGTCGAGGGCTGCGAGTTGGGGGGTACAGTGAAGTGTGGGTACCTTGGAAGCTCCCCTGAGCTCTTAGCCCTGGTTTGGGGATTGGCTGACCTTTGACCTCCTCCTCCATCTTTTTCCACTGCTGGCGTGCCAACAGAAAGTCCACATGCTCAGTGGAGACATTTTCACTGCGGGTGTCTTGGTGGACACAGAAATCCACAGGAAGCTGATGGAAAAGATGAGGTTCAGGATTAGATTACTGAACATAGAGCTGACTGGGAGTAACATACATCATTACAATTAAACAGAGACCGGACAGTCGGCTGTGGCTCAGAGGTAGAGCGGGTTGTCTATTAAGGTTGGTGGTTCGATCCTCTCGCTGCATGTCGTGTGTGTTCTTGAGCAAGACTCTGAACTCAGAATTGCTCCCGATGCTGTGCACCAGTGTCTGAGTGTGTATGAATGATTAGTTTCCGTTCTGGTGGGCAGTTGCAATGTGTGACGATATGGAAACAATTTACAGAGAAACAGTAAGAGAGAAGAAGCAGCTTCCAGCAATGTCAACTAGAATTGGTTGACAATGTATGTGTTAAATTAGTTAACATGTTAAGGAATATTTCACTTCATTCATCTTTAATAAAATTATTTGTTTAAATCAAAAAAAATTGAAAAAAATGGAAAAATAAGTTGAAATCTGCCTTTTGAGTACGTAACAACCAGTAATGTAACAGTACTTCTACTTGAGTACAGATTTTCAGTACTATTACCACCACAGTATAAGCTTTTGATTTTGATTTGAAGCTAAATTTTGTGTAATGGACAGTGATCAAGGTGAATAAAAGAATTACCATTTATTTGACAGTTCCACTGGGGGCTCTCACAGACTATTATTAAACTATCAATTATTGTTCAGCCAGGAGTTGCTTTCAACCAAATGTAACTTTCTTACAACATTTATATGTTCTGCTGTAGCATGCTAATATTTGCTGCTAGGGAATAGGTTTGCCAGGAACTCCTGTTTTAAAAGTACTGCTAATGTAAAACAACCCTATGCCCAGAAAGAGACTGATATTGGGCAGTTGTGCAAAAGATTACGTTTGATGACAAGGTTTTTTTTCCATTCAGTGCCAATATGTTTTTAAAGAACTTTACACAACTGCAGTATAATTAAAGAAAACATTTACATTTATTTACTTGCGTTCTGATTGTGAGATGAAAAGATCATGAAAAGAAACGACTCCAGCTCCAGACATGTGATTGATATCTATTTTCTCTTCTTACTCTTGAGTGCATAATTATATTTATCCAAAATAGGCCACAGCGTTTTGTTTCTACAGTCATTACTTTAATTATGACAGGTTTGTGCATATGCAACAAATTCAGTCAATTTTGCCATAGACACCAATGTTATAAATGACCTTGCATTACCTTTAATTGATAGTGACCGCTGAAGAGTAACAGGAAGGGGGACGACATGCAGCAAAGGGCCACAGGCCGGAATCAAACCCATGGCTCAACCTTGGTACATGGGGCGCCAGCTCTACCAGGTGAGCTATCAGGACGCCCCATGTCTCACAATGTTTCACCCAGTTTCATAAAAATCTAAAGAGTACACCATAATCCTGCTGACAGACAGACGGACAAACAAACGGCACCAAACATTAACTTGGCAGAAACCATTAATTGTGTGGCTGAGTGCTCTTCAGCATGAAAGTCGGATGCGTTCACCACACAACCTTCACACGCTGACTTTGCACCTTGCTACATAAAGGTCACACTACTTCCTGGACTGTGTGCTGCAGAATTACTTAATATGAAGTAATTCCTAGGGTAAGAGTTGACTAGAGTTGAGACTGAGAATCAGAATCAGAATCAGGTGCTGATAATTCACTCATCGGATATTGACCGATCCAGATTCCATAGTCTAGTTTGAATGTTTTTATAAATTATAAATAACCATCATGTTGTTAGCAGAAATGTATTTATTAATTTGTAATTAAACAGTTCTTGACGTACAGGTGGCACTTGTAACGTACTTGCGGTCATAACGCAACATGAGACAGTCTGCAACTGAGTAAGCAACAGTTGGCTAACTTAGTTTGGAGATCAAAACTGGGAAAAGCAAGGCAATGTCTTTAGCTCTACATAAAAAGAGGGGAAAGTCTTACCCTCCTGTCGGGGTCTGTGGAGCTCGTTGTGGAGCTGACAGAAGGAGACCGCATGAAGAGCTCTTCCCTCGACTTCATCTGCTCTTCATCATCATCCCTGCCTCCCCTCCTCTCCTCCTGCTCCTTCTCTACCACCTCTTCTCTCTGCTCCTCTGTTCCAGTCTCTACTTTTGCCTTATCCTCCCCTCTCTCCTCATTCTCTCCTCTTCTCTCCTCTTCCTTGCTCTCTCCATCACAGGCACTGTCATGGATTCCGCCACCTTCTTCTTCCTGGTTGATGACATCACAGGGCGTGAAGGCTGCCCATTGGTCCTCCCCGGCGTCGCTGTCCGAGTACACAATAGCCAGCTCAGCTTGGAGGCAGTCACTAAGGTGACTGTCGCTAAGGTCGTCTCTGTTGCCAGGGTCGTGACCCCAGGCCTCCTGCAACATGGCTGCCGCAGGCTGCTCTGAAGGGTCTGAGGTGAGGGGCTCTGATGATGAAGGACACACTGGACTGTCACAGATGAAGAGGAGCTCTGCCAGATCGTCTTTCATCTCTCCATCTGTCTCTCCTAGCCACCCATCCTCTTCTTTCGTGTCTCCTCTTCCAGCAACTTCTCCCTCTGTTTCTCCAATCCCTTCATCCTCACCTTTTATTTTTACTCCCCCTTCATCTTCTCCCTCAATTTCTCTTCTACCCCAATCTTCGCTCTCTGTGTCTGCTTTACTTGCATATTCTCCCTCTTTTTTTCCTCGACTTTCATCTTCTATCTCTATTTCTTGTATCTCCATGTCTCCTGTCCCTTCATCCTCTCCTTCTGCCTCTCCTCTTCCCTCATCTCCTCCCTCCTCTCCTCCTCTCTCTGTCTCTTGTCCTCCCTCACTTTCACCTACTTCCTCCCCTCCCCTCTTCTCTCCTATCTCAAAAACAAGATAGTCACACTCATCTCTGTCTGTTTTTTCATTTTCTCTCTCTGCAGCCTCGTCTTCCTCCTGCTCGTCCATGAACGGCTGCTGTACCCCGTGGACCTCTGGGTAATGGAGTTCCTCTACTTCCTGGCTGTGCCAGCTAACCAAGTTTTCTCTTTCCAGTTCTGTTAGCGGTGGTGATGAGCTGATCTCCATGGTAACTGGATCTGTTGGTTGTGTTGGAGTGGGAGAGTTGTCAACTGGGTTATCGTTGTCAGAGCTACTGTTGTCGTGGTTACCGTCCGTTAGCTCGGCTGTTGCCCTCCTTAGCCCAGCTGTGGCTCTCTGTGGACACAAACAAATTTCCATTTTTTAAAATCATCATTGTATAACATGTGAAACAGAAGCAGGGAGCGCCGATTGGTGTGTGTGAGAAGGAGATTAGAGCAGAGAGCTAACGTGAGTCTGTCGTCATCATCTCAACACAAGATTTGGACAATTCTGCATGGGATGTCACGTCCCTGTGTCTGGTCCGTATGTGTTCTTGCTTGGTCCTTTGGTGACAGTGGAACAAACAATCACTTTATTTTTCAATGTAAAAGATCATTCATTTCTGATGTGGATAATTCAGACAAGGAATCAGCAGGCGATCTTGTGTTGTAAAAAGGCAAAGACCCACTCTTTCTGACAGAGATGGCTTACGCCATGCATTGCATGTACTGCTCTCGGTGTGGCCTGACATTTGTGGGGAATACTAAAATTGCCAACTCGACCGCACACTTTAAACATGAAACAAAAATCCAACAACAGCAAGACACAAACTTTTGAATATTTTTGGTTGTTGTGCTGTAATGAGAGTAGTGTACTGGGACTGCCTCCTAATATTTGACTAAATCATCGATGAGAAGAGTTTAAGTCGACCCACTTTTCCTTAGTTGGATAGTGGCAGAAAAACAAAAACGTCAACACTGTGCCTTGTCACAGGGACAAAGGGATCACAGGATTGTTGCAACTGCTAACTGTGCTAGCTGCCATTAGCTACTTAGCGGTCCTATTACCTGACTCTACCCAGAAGGAAAGGGGGAGGTTTGTTTATTCTACTAACATAGGAGCTCTGGATAGCCAGGAGTAGGTATTCAAGCCCAGAGCCTACTAGAAGGAGCCAAATGAGCCCTCAACAGAACTGGGAACACAGCCCCAAAAACCAACAGAGGCCAGGTGATTTACAAGAATTTACAGCGGCTGTGGCTCAGAGGCAGAGCGGGTCCTCCCCCAATCGGAAGGTTGTTGGT